ATCAAAGCGCTAGAAGAATCATTTGCACTAGCACCATACCGGGTAAGCTCATTGATTCCAGTAGAAAACGGTAGAAATGCACAAGCATTAATTAAGGATGTAGACGGGACCGGGTTAACCTGCTCAGTAGGTACACTACCCGTGGTACTGCAGAGTGCCGGTACCACAAGTGCGGCGTTGGATATGGCTGCAATTGTAACGCCATCAGGTTTCTCATAAAGCTGTTGTTGAATTTCCATTTTTTTGTAGCCAAATACTGAAACCAATTTTTCAAACACAAATTCTTCGATTTTCCTTTGTGGTGATGTTGATGATAATGGCGAAGATTATGATGACAGTGACCATGATAATAATAATGACGATGAAGTTGATAATGATGGTGATGGCAGCCGACTGTAAATCTTTCACGATTGTGTTGACGTTAACGAGCTCCGATGATGAGGAAGCTGAAGATTCGGAAAGGTTAAATGCATACAAATTGCGCCCATTTTGTTGGAAATTTGTTGTGCGGGAACGATGGCGCCGTGCGAAGAGGCTACCTCTGAAGGGAAGTGATTAGCGATTGGTTTGTTCAGCCGAGTGCAGAAGCCAGCTTCGGGGGTCAGCTAGTTAGCAGTCGTTCCAGCTTGCTGTTCTAAGGAAGAGGGAAGAAGCTCCAGCTTGGCGCGTTAGGCATATTGCTCGGCTGCTCAGTGAAGTGAGCCCTAACGAAGCTACAATGGCCTAGGACATCCTGGATCCTAACGAAGAAGCACTCCACGCTTGTGACATCCTCATTCCCGCATCCTTTCCAATTTCTGCTTTTCCTGCCTGGATCTCCTGCTCGTTCAGTTTTCCCTGCATTTCTCCTCTTTCCATAACTTACCATAGTCCCACAATGTTGTTATCTTGCCAGCTAGCAACACTTTTGAGGAAGCAGAGCAGTGGCTCATTGCTCGATTTTACAGTATCCTCACTCTACATCTTTCGAGTGAATCATCGCGTTGGCGGCGGCACTGTTGCACCAACCCCATCCTGTCCCTTCTCGATTTAATTAGGCATACAAATCACCCCGTGTTTATCCAAATAACACAACCTCAACCCTAAATCGAGTTCTCAAAAGGGGCTTCCTAAATCCACCACCCCAATTCTTCTGAAACTGGATATGCCCACCTTACAGTTGTACCTAAATATCTAGCGCTGTTTGGGAACGGAGCATATGTTCTGGTTGCAAGTCCGGAACCAGAAGCAGTACCTAGTACCATTTACCTGCTGAGGCAAAAGCGGGACCTAGCTTTGGCTTGGCGACGAACTAAAAACGGCATCAGGCAATGTTCGTATGTGTAGCGAAGGATCCAGGAACGACTCATAGTGCTATCTAGGCGAGTTAAGGATTGACATTTAGTACCGACGGTTCTAAGAGCGGTATCTAGTGCTAACTTATTACCTTGTGGTGGGTCCAGAACTACTTAGCACTACATAATTGACTAATGAAGGGGAGAGGAGCGGACCATGTACTACCTACGTACTTTGTCAATTGGCTGATCGCTACTTCTGAGATTCTCATTCAGCGAAAGCTTTTTATGCAAAAGGTCACACATGCAAATATAATGCAGCGGCAAATAGCATTACTTTCAACTGGAATAACCACTTTCTCTACAATTCATTCATCTGTTACGGTTGTAAATTGATGCGTATGTATGCCAGGAAGTCGAATTCGCATATGTTGTTTTTAAAGAAAGGAATCATCGACAGTCTTGTCAGTAGGTGGTTGTTGTTGGCACCTTCTGCTACTCAAGCTTATTCCTGTTTTTTTAGTTTTCCTACGCTCAACTTTGTGCATTTTCGTGTTCTGTTGTGCAAAGATGCCATTGCGTCCACGCAAGAAAGTAATTCCGACAAGTAGGCGGTAGGGTGCGAGGCTATGTATTTGTGAGAGGTACTCGCGAGAGACGAAGTGACCAACTGGACGGTTTCCGAAGAGATGTTACACATGTACTGAATGGGGATGGAGTTGTGGTTATGCAGTTTAGAATCAGAATGCATGCACAAAATCTTACTGCGCATTTACATTCTTTTCGTTGCAAAAAAATTTTTTCGCGCTGCTCTTTGTGCATTTTTACATGCAAGAGATTAAACGCATTTTGCTGTGCACTAAGTCACTGCATGTCATACTCAGATCTTTTATTTCTAACCGTAATATTACACAGTTTTCTAAAGTTTCTGTTATGCATAAAATTATGCGTCAGCTTGACAACACTTTCTGGAAGATGGGAGAACGAAATAAGTGATAATCGCATTGTCACAGCGATTAATGCTTTGCCTCTTCCTATCCTGCTTATTATATTATAATAATTGCATAATTAATTATTTGATTAATTTTATCCTTGCCTTCATTTAAGCTAATTCATTGGTCCAGTTCTTTCATGGACACATCCCCAACTTGCTGTTTTCTTGCCAGAGTGTATTCAAAAAATCAAAAAATCAGCAAACAGCTGAGCTGAAACTTGTGACACATATAGCGGGACCAAATAAATGCAGCGATTCCCAGTTCATTTTTTCCGTTTTACGATTATCGGAGACTTTAAAATTGAGTGTTTATAAGTTACTTTAAATGCTTGGGTCATCTAATAATTCCTCAACTAGTTCCACCATTATGCATCACTAACTCTCCAGCTGCTCTGACCAGTAATGGGTCGCTTGCTGGTCAGCTTTTTGGCAGTCCTGCATTTGTTTTACCTTTTCATAAATTGTTTCATTTTTTGCTGATTAAGTTTAACCATTAATCCAAAGATGATGTTGGAGATCTATTGGAAATCCCTTCTCCTTTTATTAAAAATATATTTCTTCTAAAAAAAGTCCAGCCACATTATTGATTAAGATTTTAGCATCGCGTAAGAACGTAAGTATTATAATTTGTTGTGACGATCCTATGTTATTGATGTCAGATGACTGTTTCCAAACGATGGAAGTACTAATTCTAACTCAGTCTTTCTGAGCTATATATTTTTGAATTAGTCCCTACCGTCTGTTCGACCGCTGGAGTGATTGTTTATTTCTTTATAAGTACCACTCACTAATGCATAGCGCCAACCGGTTGCCAGCAAGGAGAGGAAGATGCTCTGCCTGTTAAATTTTAATTCCTTCAAATAATTAATTGTTAAAATTTTGATATCATTTGACATGTTAGTCAAGTCTACTCTTTATGCGACGCTTTGAAAGACGGGGCAGTCAGAAATTCTAAGTGCCTTAGTTTCTCAATAAAGC